ATAAAAATTAACTGGTTGCTTGCAGTCCCAGCTACTCAGGAGGCTGAGGCAAGAGAATCACTTGAACCCGGGAGGTGGAGGTTGCAGTGAGCTGAGATCGCGCCACTACACTCCTGCCTGGCCGACAGAGAGAGACTCTGTCTCAAAACAAGAACAACGACAAAAAACATATTGTGATATAATCTGGATTCTACTCCTCACTAACCACATATTTTACAAGTGGAAAGTTCTTAAAGGTAATCTAATCCAATCTTCTCATTTAATGAGAAAATGTAGCTCCGGAAGGTTAAGCAATTTAGCCAAGTGCCATAACAACCTTGTTTATATATCCCAGAGTAAGCAGGTAGGGGTGGGCACAGAAAAAGGAGGCTTGCTTAACTGTCTATACCTCCAGTCGGTTATAAACTGCACAGCGTCTGCACCCTCTCAAGGAGTCTTCTCATAAGAAGACTTATGGACAAGGTACATACCTGGTCTGATACTGGATTGAATAGAATCAAGTGTCCAAAAGACTTTAAGCTCCATAGCTCGCTAGGGAGGAGCTGCCAGAGGCCAGGAAAACTACGATGAACGGTGAGGCCTCCCAACACGTCTGCTGCTACTGCAATAACATGGTCTCGAAGAGGAGGAAGATTCGTACACTGACAACGGCCAAAAAATATTGGAAGTGGCTTAATTGGAAGTGGGATATATAAACGCTAAAACAGAGATCCTGAGACCCCCTATTTTCTGGACAATCGGACCAACGGCTTTGGGAGCTGGCTGCAAAGGTGGTTATCATGGCAAGGAGGTAGGTCGGTCCGGTCCTGCCCCGCCCCCTCCTCACCTGCGCGGGCCAGGGGTAGGGGTTCCGCAGCTCCCGCCCTCATGCCGCGCCTCTGCGCATGCGTGCACGGTCCGCCCGTCACGCCGGGTGTCTGTACCGCGGCCCCCCGCCGGTGTCTCCGCCGAGATAATACCATCTGCTACTTTACACTGAGGGGCCCCGGGGGTACAGAAGGCAGAATCGTACCTGATTGGGACAGGCAACCCGCCTTACCAGGGGAACGGACAATCTCTGGTCTAATGAACTTTCCCCTGGAGGGCCCAGGCAGGTCACCTTGGGAGGCTTCGTCCGGGCCGGGGACGACCAGCTCCGCCTCTACCTCCGCCCGCGCCCGGAGCAGAGGTGGTTCGGCCGGTTGGGATTGTGGGAGATGTAGTTCGCCAGAAGGAGGGATGTGCGCCTGCGCTTCTCGCGAGGGACTTAGGGGGCGTCGAAAATGAGGCAAAGACCGAGTTGGTGGCGTGTGGAGCTGTGGCTCGGAAGGCGACGGTAACTTTTTGGGGGCAGGGGAAGGCAAGGCTGTTTCCCCGGAACGGTACCTGAGCAGGCTTCTTCGGGGGTCACAGAAGGGGCCACCTGCGCAGAATCGTGAGGCTCACAAACCTGCCCTTTTATGAATTCTCCAAGTACTGTTGAGGGGCTGCCGACGGGACCCAGGACAAAATCAAAATAGGGATCTTCTGGCTTCGAATTCAACCACTGACTTGGGTGCTGAGCATTTCCCCTCTCTGTACAGAAAGCAAGTTTTTTAAAAAGGAAAAAGAAAAGGGATAAAAAGAAAAAGGCAGAGGCTTGGGAGTTTTCAGATTTGGATTGAAAATCCTGTTTCTCGGGGGAAAGGAGAATAACTTAAAAGAAAAAGAAAAAGAAAATCTTGTTTCTTCTGCTTGCACCATAGGCAAGATACCTGCAAAATGAGAGTTGCAATACGTCGTAAACTATAGGAATAGTAGGGCACTGTGCTAAGTGCTTTATGTATATTCTCATTGACTTTTTTTTTTTTTTTTTTG